GGAAGTGGCACTGTGGCTCAAGTGGTAGAGCGCTAGCCTTGAGCTGAAGAGCTGAGGGACAGCGCCCAGGCCCAGAGTTCAAGCCCCACAACCGGACCCAAAAAAATATATATATATATTGAATTTATGTTCTTCCTCAAGTATCATCCTAGAGGATGATTTATATAGAGCACAAACCAGGAACATTCCACAAGTTCAGCAGAATAGGCAGAGTATGGCTTACAGATGCAGTAGCTTCTCTTGGGAAAGAGAGGTGCCTGTCTCATTGCTGCAGAGGTACAGACTAAGACTTCAAATGACTGGGGTAACTAGAAGCCTGAACATGGATAAACTGGTTTCACTGACACTATGACTAATATTGCCTTACTTTCTCAAAAAGGCTAAAATGCTTTCCCAGATCAACTTAGAAAAAAATACAAATTAATTTCAGTTGAGCTTCAGACTGAGTAAAAATAAGCTCAATTTGCTAATCATGTATTAACGTGCCAAATAAACCTGTCACGCTAGGAATGTATTGTGACTATAACCATGCCATTCTCTGTGAGAAAAACAAAGATGTTGAATTATTACCCCAGGTCATAGTGAAGTGGAAATCCTCTTTTCTACTTCTATCCATTGCATTCTTTTTCTTATGAACTCTATCTCTGACTTAAATATTGTTGCCATGAGGAGCCGAGGTCTCTGGCCCCATGGAGGTCTTGTTGCTTTGTGGTCTCAGGTCTAGTAGGTTATATACAATACTTGCTGACAGTAATTGTGTTTGTTCCTACATACAACAAAATGAAAATATAATATTGACCTCTTTAGAAAGAAGAGAGACAGAAGAAATATAATGCTCTTCTAGCTTTCCCTAAGGTTAAGGACAGAAACTCTCATAGGATCAAAAGCTCAGCTAGTGCCAAAATTGGAATTTTACAGACTGATGATGCAAATAGTCAAGGGAAGATATCTGACCTGTTTTAAGATTACATATCAAAAGATGTTTTAAGGGCCAGATGAGTGCTACTGAGCTACAAGGAAATAGTACCACATGAAACCCAAAACAAATGGCCTCTTCTCTGCCCTTCTGCCTCTCAGCTGAAGATTATAATCTTGTGCCTCTCATGTTTTCTAAATGATCTTAACTCGTGAAAGGCTAAAAAGCTATTCGTTTGCCAGGTACTGGCACAGGCTCACACCTGTAATCCTAGCTACTCAGGAGGCTGAGATCTAAGGATCATGGTTGGAAGCCAGCCAGGGCAGGAAAGTCCATGAGACTCTTATCTCCAATAAACTACTCAGAAAAAGCTTGAAATGGTACTGTGGTTAAAGTGGTAGAGCGCTAGCCTTGAGCACAAAGAGGCCCAGGAACAGTGTCCAGCCCAAGTTCAAGCCCCAGAACCTGGGGGGTAAAAAAAGCTATTAGTTTGGTTGGTGTCACTTGTCTATCCTGTACTGGAGCATAAGTACATGTCATAGTCAATTAACTACTAGGCAAATAAAAAATTTTAAAGTACTGATGTAAAAAAATCCCACAAATTATATGTTCCCCATTAAAAACACAGTGGTTTAAAATAAAATTTCCCAAACATGTTCATTAGGGATTGTAGCACGCTGGGAACTAATCCCTTTCTTTATGCATTTAAAGTCAGTCTAGGAAGCAGAACAATGAGAAGTTAATGGCAATGAGCTTCTTACAGTGGTCTCTCTGTTGTTTGCAGGTTACAACCCATTTGTCCCATTGAAGGCCGATTTGGAGGAGCCCGCAGTCAGGCTGAATTCCCACTCCGTGCCCTACAGTTTAAGCGTGGCCTGCTGCACGAATTCCGGAAAGGCAACTCTTCCAAGGAGCAGATTCACCTGCATGACCTGGTCCAGCAACTCCCCAAGGCCATCATTATTGGCGTGAGGAAAGGGGGCACAAGGGCCCTGCTAGAGATGCTGAACCTCCACCCAGCAGTGGTCAAAGCATCTCAGGAAATCCACTTCTTCGACAATGATGAGAATTATGCCAAGGGCATTGAATGGTATAGGAAAAAGATGCCTTTTTCCTACCCCCAACAAATTACAATTGAAAAGAGCCCAGCATATTTTATCACGGAGGAGGTTCCGGAAAGGATTTACAAGATGAACTCATCCATCAAGTTGTTGATCATTGTCAGGGAACCAACCACAAGAGCTATTTCTGATTACACTCAGGTGCTAGAAGGGAAGGAGAGGAAGAATAAAACGTATTACAAGTTTGAGAAGCTGGCCATAGACTCTAATACCTGTGAAGTAAACACAAAATACAAGGCAGTAAGAACCAGCATCTACACCAAACATCTGGAAAGGTGGTTGAAATATTTTCCAATTGAACAATTTCACATTGTCGATGGAGACCGCCTCATCACAGAACCGCTGCCAGAACTTCAGCTCGTGGAGAAGTTCCTAAATCTTCCTCCAAGGATAAGTCAATACAATTTATATTTCAATGCTACCAGAGGGTTTTACTGCTTGCGTTTTAACATTATCTTTAATAAGTGCCTGGCGGGCAGCAAGGGGCGCATTCATCCAGAGGTGGACCCCTCTGTCATTACCAAATTACGCAAATTCTTTCACCCTTTTAATCAAAAATTTTACCAGATCACTGGGAGGACATTAAACTGGCCCTAAAGAAAAAAATAGATATGTCATACAACACTATGTGTTGTGCCTGGAGACACTTAATATCTCCTCTAGATTAAGATATGCACTTTCCCTAGACACACCTATCCACATCATTTTTTCTTGTACATGTGACCAAATATAAGATCAGTTCTTTTTCCTACTGAAAATTTACAAAAAAAGAAAAAGAAGATACTAAATTGCTGTCTGCATAGTCGCATCTTTTATGCTATTTATGAAAATGAAGAGGTGGTGGTATTGGGGAAATGTGACTTCAGCTATTCTCAAAGAGTTAGTCTTCCTTTGATTCAGAATTTGTCACCAGCCATTCATATAGATTTAAGCCAAAAGATGAGTGTGTGAAAATGTACCAATGGCTGTGCGGCTTCAGGAAATAGAGGGTTCAGTTATGCATTTTGTTTTTCCTAAGGGAAAACTGGCTCTTTAATTCAGATGATGCATTGGTGCCATGAAGGGGGGGAAAAGGAAAGAAAATACTATTTTCTTATTATTTAAAAGAATGTCTTATCTCATAAAATTTGACATTGTTCCAAAGTTTCTGTGGTGACTTTGCACTATTGTTTTCTTGTAAGAATCATAGTGTCACTTGTAGCATGTCAATCACATGTTGGAAAGTCAAGTCCTTTTACTTCCATGTTGAATGTCAACAGAGAAATGTCATGTATATAGTGTATATTGTTGTAAATACTTGTTTCACACCAAGTAATTCTATTTTGTAAACTGAATATGGCTATTTAATTTATTGTGAAAATTAAATTTATTGTGGTATTTAAAAATGGAATGGATTAAAGTTACTCTATGTGCAACTACTTTTTAAACTCATTTTGTTTTGTGAGCCTCCCAACTGGCTTCCAGAATAGAAGGTGTTTATGTGTATCTGAGATCATTTGGGAAGATTCATTTCTCCATTTGATTCCTGTGTCCTGGTAGAAGTGTATATACAAAAGGAATTTTATTAATATATATGCATATATATGTGTGTGTATATATATATATATATACAATTTTGTGACTATTATTTTACTTGCAGTTACTGCTGCTTCAGGGGGAGATGAGGAATACATAATAGAATCAAGGCATAGAAGCATCATAATTTTATGTGAACCTCTAATCAGTCAGGCCAGCAGGAAAATAAATAAATCAGATTTGGAAATTTGTGTGGCCTCTGTACAGATAGCTTCTAATGCTTCAAATATGAAAACAAGTGCTCAGAGTTTTCTCTTTTAGATGAAAATATATCTGCTCAGAAATGATCCAATTGCCTAGTATTACTATGACTAGCAAAAAACATATGGCTCATTTTTCCACCCAGAGAAATGAATGCTACATTGAGTGCCTCACTAACATCAAATACTCTATTATGCTTAAATAAAATTCTGGAGGAAAAATTGTGGCAAGGAGTTAATATCCACAACTAAAACTATGGGGTTTTTCAACCTTATAGTTGCTTCTCCAGGGAGAAATATTTGAGACGATTTTGTTGAGTGCCTAGAGTAAAATCAGCAAATAAAACCAGATTCCCCCTTACTGTAGGAAGTGTTCTTTTTTTTCTGTGAGTTGTTTATCCTGTTCAGTGATTCCATGGTGAATTGTGCTAAACAAATAGCACTTTCGTCCCACCCCAGGGTTGGGATATATTGCTTCTCAAGCCATAGCCTTGGCCATCATCATCTCTTCAATTTAGAGGTATGCTGTGTGCTCTCAGCATTACATGTCCAGGACACCAGCACATTCTGCAGGCTGATCCTCGCTCACTGTGCCACAGCTCTGGAGGGAGAGTCTCAGGTCTAAATGTCATTCACTTCTCCCCTGGACAAGGAAAAAAGTCAATATACAGAGCCTGGTTCCTATGATCCTGTGCCTCATCTCTCAGCTAACAGAATAAACACTGTATTCCAGCACATGATAACTGGATCTGCCTTAATCTTAAAAAGTATTCCAAGAGCATAGCTAGATAGCTAACAGTTTTGTACCAATGACTGACAAATGATGCCCAACTGGAACACTGGGGTTTCAAAACTTTACCCTCTATTAATGAATTGTAATTGTTCAGTAATTGTTTGTATTACACACTTTTCTTTTTAACCATAGCTCCTAATATATCGACAAATTATAGTTGATCATATTTATGGAGCACAAAGTGACATGCTGACTTTGTAATACAATGTTGAGTAAATTAAGCTAATTAACATATCCATCACCTCCCACACTTAACATTTTCACAATGAGAAAAGAAATTAACCTTCAATAATACTGACATGCATAGCCCTGAACACTGAACTGTGTTCAGCATGATGTGCTTGATCTAAAAAAAAGGAAAAGGAAAAACCAGACATACTTATTTTATCTAATGGAGGCTCTGTACTGCTTACAGGTAGTACATACCACATTTTATTCTAAGGTTCTATTTAACTTATGCCAACTTATCTAATTTTTATTTCTAGGTCAATATGTCAATAATATTCAGAGAAACAGAAAGCACCATAGTTGTCCCATTTTCTAAATGAGTTTGAGAATGTCCTAAATTTTGAAGGCTTCGCCCACCCCCACTTCCCTAAGACCCAGACCAAGAGGCCTAGCATGACAGAAAATCTTGGGTGGCACACTTCATTTCACCGAAAAGTACAACCACTGCTGATTAAGTCAGGTAGAGAGAAATAAAAATCTTAGGACTTAATAGCATACCACCACTGGAGATTTGAAAGCTCCTGTTGTCTTCAGACAGGCAACAGTCCTCCAGAGAAATCCTCAGCTCATTACCGTAACTCCACGAGGGCTCTCTATAATGAGTTCCTCCCTTCACATTATGAACACCTTGCATTTCTTCCTGAGGCTTGGTGGCTCCACACAGCTTTGTCAAATAGCTCCAACTGCAACAAGAAAAACTGTTTAAGCAATGGTGAAATTCCTGATGAATCACGTAGCTGAAACAACACCATTTTGGAACTCCAGGAGTTCCAGTTATAAAAACTGCCCATGATGAGGAGAGAAACTCGGAAGCCGAGATTTAAGGGATATTCAAACTTATTGAATGGGCAACCTCAAGTTCCAAACCATCACCTTACTTATCTGAAACCACCACACTCAATTCCTGAAGGACTTCTACTAATTGAGGTATAGTATAAGAAATATAAGACATTTTGGTCTTTTGTGAACATATGGAGAAGCGGACTTGGAAATCTCTCACAAGTGCTTTTAATTTTAGATTTGGTAGTTTTTATGTTGATAGACCAGCAAAAATAGTTGTCAGGCCAAGGGCTGTTCACAAGGCTAGTGAGGCCTGGATGGAGCTTTGTCCAAATGTTGGTGCAATAGCCCCCTAGAGGACAAGCTGACGGACAAACTGGAGAAGATCATCTGGGACACTGAAGACATGCTCTTACTAAGGGAATCCAGTAGAAGTACAATCCAAATTCCAGGCTGCTAGATAAGCATTTATTTTGTCCAATTGGGTGGGGGTTTTTTGGGGGGGGGTTATTTTGATAAGTTTATTCTTTTTTTTTCTTTTTTAAAATTTGATGGAATTCTATGCCTCCATCAGAAAGAATGACATTGCTCCATTTGTTAGGAAATGGAAAAACTTGGAAAAAATTATATTAAGTGAAGTAAGCCAGACCCAAAGAAACACAGGTCCCATGGTTTCCCTTATTTGCAATATCTAGTATATGTATGAGTCAAGCGGAAAAAGTCAGATAATGTGATGTTAGGAAAATGAATCCTTAGATATGTATTTTAAATTTTTTTTCTTTCATGCATATGTTTCTAACGCATTTATAAGACTATTTCTTTGTTGTTTTGTATGTCCCTCCCCCACAGTATAACCCCCGCTTTCAATATATTTGATGTCAGTATAACTTGTGGAGGAGATGGGGAAAAACATGTCGTTTAAGGATTCAGGTGGACCTGTTGCAACAATGAGAAGTACAAATTGTCATGTCAAAAACGAGTTTTACAATGTCTGTGGGGGGGAGAGGGGAAGGAGAAGGATTGGGATTAGGGGGGAGGGGGGAGGCTTGGAAGGGATGTGAAGGGTAAACAAAGGAGGAGGCTGCAATGCTTGGTAAGAAATGTATGCATTATCTTGCCCATGTAATTGTAACCCCTCTGTACAGTATGTTCACAAGTAAAATAAAATTTAAAAAAATAAAAAAAAATTGAAAATACCCTACAGAGGAGTTACAATTACATGGGCAAGATAATGAGAACATTTCTTATCAAGCATTATTGCTTCCTCCTTTGTTTCCCCTTCCTATCCCTTCCCATATCCCCCCCTACCCATATCTCCTCCTTCCCCCCCAAGGTTGAAAAGTTCGTTTTTAGACATAACGACTTGTACATCTCATTCTTGCAATGGGTCCATCTGTATCCTTATTTAAATGATTTGTTTTTTCCCTTCCCCTCCCCCACGATATAACTCCTGCTTTCAATTAGCTGTTTTTTAAAATCGTATTGACATCATGAACTTTATTGGAAGATTTAACAGGGATGGAGAATTCCACTTCCTTGCTGAAATTTCTGGTGTCTTTTTGTACCTCAGTCCCCTCAAAAATGACTACATTCAAAATCTTACAAATTCGAACCAAAAGGGTACAAGTTATACTATATAGAATAAATTCATTGCAACCACAGCCAAATAGACAATATGTCAAACAAAACTATAATTTCATTGAAAAAATACCCAATTTTACCTGCTTTGATAAATAAATACCTCTTAATTGTCATTTTAAGATTTTGTCCCCAATTGTTAGTATTTCTGAATAGTATGTCATCTTACATAGGTTATTCAGATCACTTAGCGAGGCTGGGAAGGTGGCTTAGTGGTAGAATGCTTGCCTTGCATGCATGAGGCCCTGGGTTCCATTCCTCAGCACCACATAAGCAAAAAGACAAAAGCCAGAAGTGGCTCTGTGGCACAAGTGGTAGAGTGCTAGCCTTGAGCTGAAGAGCTGAGGGACAGCGCCCAGGCCGAGTTCAGGCCCCACAACCGGACCCAAAAAAAAAAAATCAGTATCTTTTATCAATATAAGTAAGCCATTCTTCTATGGAAATTTTAAGAGTGGAATTTAGGCCCAAATATGATTATGTAGGTACCTTACTTATATATCTTAGAGAAATCATTTTCTTTATGTTTTGGGCTTTTAAAGACTTCTCTCAAGTTACATTTGATTTCACCTGCTATGCATATGAGTAAGAGTACTAATTTTGTAATAATGAAGAAATGGATTAGAGAGTTGAAAAGGCAAAATGAAAATGATAGCAACATGCACTTCCATAAAAAAGCAACTAAGCAGTATTCCAAGGACAGTGTCATCTGTTGTTTAAAGGCACAGCTCTTCCGGTCATGCCAAGTAGAAAGTAGCATGCTGAGTACCTCATCAGGCTAGTTCTATCATGAATTTGTGGAATCATATTGTCTACTAGATATTGATAGCTGCTAGTGAAAGGTTTATTGTTTCTAAATGTATGTGCCCACCATCTTCAAAATAGCCTACCAAAAAATAAAAATGAATTGCTCTCAATAGATAGGTAATACCATTTCAAAGAAATGGCCTGTCTTGCTCATTTCTAAATGCATATGCCTTTCCATTAATGATACCAGAGTACCATCTTTATAGTCAGCTACAAAACTACTTGTTTCTTTGGTAAAGTCACACTAAAAGTCACCCACAGGTTTAAACATAAATATAAAGGCCAGCAGCACATGGCCTGAAATCCTAGCTATTCAGGAGGCTGCAAGTTAGAAGCCAATTTGGGCAGGATTGGTTTGTAAGACACTTAACCTCCAATTAGACATTACTAATATTTTAAAAAGTCAGAAGTAAAGCTGTAGCTCAAGTGGTAAAACACTAGCCTTGAGCACAAAAGCTCAGAGACAGCACCCAGGCCCTGAGTTCAAGCTTTAGGAGCAGCACCACAAAAATAGGGGGAAAAAAAGCTTTCTGGTAATGCCAGATGACTTTGGCCA